ACACGGGGGTCGGAGCCCAAGCTGGACAAGGAGGGCATCTGCATAGGAGACCTGCCCCACACGGGGGTCGGAGCCCAAGCTGGATGAGGAAGGTATCTATCTATGTGGAGTTGGCTGACGTGCTGTGTCAGAACCAGAGCAGAGTGACAGGGAAATTCACATGGGGCAATGACCTGGTGTAGGGTGTCAGAGGCTGAACAAGGTGAGTAGGACATCCACATATGGTGGTAGCCCAGCATGGTGTGTTATAGTCTGCATAGGGTGAGAAGGGCACCCACACAGAGGAGGGAGTGGCAGCAGAGACAGGAGATTGATTGCATATAGATTAAGTAAGCAAATTAATTAAAGATAATGGAGTCTCAGACTTCCCTCTGCCTGAGAATATAGAAAGGGAAGAAATCAGAATGAACACTGTGGTGGTGGACTGGAATTGGAAGTACTGCTTTGAATTCATAGTTTTCAATATTTAGAGCTAGATATAGAAGTGGATGTGGATGTAAATGTGTGTGTATACATGAACACACGCATACGTATATTCCCTCAGCTCTGTCCACTGAGAGAGTCTGGGCGCAGTGATTCTCCAATAGCAACAAGCACACCTTCACTTCTAGATTCCACTGTCCTCGAAAAGAAACCAAGCTCCTTAGACAAGTAGCTGATTCCAGGGCTGGGGCAGGGAAAGAATAATATGAGTCCAGAGTATCTGTTGTACCAGAAAGCATGGAAGTGCTCAAATATTGTCAGGGACATATCAAAAAGAAATAGAAGCCAGCCTGAACGGGGTCCCACTGGCCACATCAAGGACAATTTAAACATCAAAATAAATAATGATACTAATGGCTTATATAACCATAGAATAAAACAGAAACCCTGAGTACATAGAGATAAATAAATAATAAATATATTAAAAGTTTGATGAGGAACAAGATATTTACATAGTTTCAAGGTAGCTCCCTACACCATACTTATTAATTACAAAGGGGAAAGAGCAACTTTACGGTGGAGAAGCCTAGCAGACACCACCTTAATCAAGTACTCATGAACATCATCAGTAAAGGGTAAACAGGTGCACCACCTGAGAGGCTGCATCGAGAACACAGAATCACTTCTGGGATATTCCTGCCAAACATGCATAATCCAAACCTAATTGTGAGGAAACTTCAGAAAATCCAAACTTAGAAACATTTACAAGATAACTGGTCAAAAATATAATACAATGCTCTTGGAGCCTACTGTGAAAGGGAAGGTAAATTTACTGAGAATTTACATAGATGAAAATGTCTATATTTTTTTCCCACATTCACTTGATGAGCTAGCTGGGAAGAGAACACTAGTTTGGAAATAATTTTCCTGTGACTTTTGAAAGCAACCTTCCATTGCCTCATAGCTTCCAGTGTTGCTCTTGAAAAGGTCAAGCTCAATCTGAATCCAACCCTCTGTGTGCAACCTGTTTTTTTCTTATTATAAATTTTTCAGATTTGGTGTTCTGAAATTTCACAATGATGAGTCTTCACATACGTCTTTTATCCATTTACTGTGTTGGGTACTTAATGGGCCATTTCAATCTAGAAACTCATTTAATTCTATAAAAATTTCTAGTAATAATTCTTTGACAATTTCCACCTGTCCTCTGCTGCTTTTCCTGGAATTATTAGTTCAATGAGAAGTTCCCAGATTGAGCCTCTAATAAGTTTATTTTTTCTCTCCTATTTTTTTATCTTTGTCTTTTGTCACAGCATGCATATCATTTTTTCTATCCTATTTATGCATATTTTCAACATAATTATTTTCCTGATTATAAAAATAATATGTTCATTATAGAAAATAATAAAAGCACAAAAAAGATAAAGGAACCATACTTTAACTATTTAGAGATAGCTAGTAATAACATTTTATTGTCTCTTCTTAGGTACTTGGGTGGTATAGTTTGCACTCATCCAATAACCTAAAAGTTGGTGGTTTGAACCCACCCAGTGGCACAACAGAAAAAGGCCTGGCAATCTAGTTCAGGCAAGAAAACCCTATGGAGCAGTTCTACTCTGTAACACATGGGGTTCCCATGACTTGGAATCAACTTGACAGCAATAGATTTGGTTTTCTTTCTCCTGAAAGTCCTTTTTTTGTATGTGTATTATTAAATAAAAGCATTATACTAAAAATGTTATCTTAACATTTGTTTTAAAATTGTTTTAAGTATTGAATGAATACAAAAGGTTACATGTAATGTTAAAGAATACAGAAGAAGATATACAAGGTTAAAAAGTACAAAAATCTCCCAGTTTATGACCAATGGAACAGAATTGAGAACCCAGATGTAAATTCATCCACCTATGGTCACCTGATCTTTGACAAGGGCCCAAAGTCCATCAAACAGGGAAAAGATAGTCTTTTTAACAAACGGTGCTGGCAAAACTGCATGTCCATCTGCAAAAAACTGAAATAAGACACATTCCTCATACCATATACAAAAACTAATTCAAAATGGATCAAAGACCTAAATATAAAGCCAAAAACTATAAAGTTCATAGAAGAAAAAACAGATCAATACTAGAGGCCCTAAGACATGGCATTAACAGGATACAAACCATAACCAACAACACACAAACTTCAGAAGATAACCTAGATAACTGGGATCTTGTAAAAATTAAACACTTCTGCTCATCAAAAGACTTCACCAAAAGAGTAAAAAGAGAATCTACAGACTGGGAAAAAATTTTTGACTATTACAAATCAGATAAAGGTCTAATCTCTAAAATCTACAGGAAAATCCAGCACCTCTACAACAAAAAGATAAATAATCCAATTAAAAAATTGACAAAGCAAATGAACAGACACTTCATTAAAGAAGACATTAAAGCAGACAACAGACACGAGAAAATGCTCGAGATCACTAGCCATTAGAGAAATGCAAATCAAAACCACAATGAGATACCATCTCACCCCAGCATTACCAGCACGAATCAAAAAAACAGGAAATAACAAATGTTGGAGAGGCTGCGGGGAGATCAGAACTCTTATGCGCTGCTGGTGGGAATGCAAAATGATACAACCACTTTGGAAAATGATATGGTGCTTCCTTAGAAAGCTAGAAACAGAAATACAATATGATCCAGCAATACCACCCCTAGGAATACATCCTAGAGAAATGAGTCATCACACGAATAGACATATGCACACCCATGTTCACTGCAGCACTGTTCATAATAGCAAAAAGACAGAAACAACCTAAATGCCCATCAACAGATGAATGGATAAACCAACTATGGTACATACACACAATGGAGTACTATCCAACGATAAAGAAAAATGATGAATCTGCGAAGCATCTCATATCATGGATGAATCTGGAGGGCATTATGCTGAGTGAAATAAGTCAATCACAAAAGAACAAATATTGTATGAGACCACTACTGTAAAAACTCATGAAAAGGTTTACACACAAAAAGAAACAACTTTGATGGTTATGAGGCAAGGGAGGGGTGGGGATGGAAGACACTAAATAGACAATAGGTAAGTGGTAACTTTGGTGAAGGGTAAGACAGTACACAATACTGGGGAAGCCAGCACAACTTGTACAAGGCAAGCTCATGGAAGCTCCATCAATATATCCAGACTCCCTGAGGGACTGAATTGCTGGGCTGAAGGCTGTGGGGACCAAGGTCTTGGGGAACATCTAGCTCAACTGGCATAATATAGTTTATAAATAAAATGTTCTACAGTCTACTTTGCTGAATAGCGTCTGAGGTCTTAAAAAGCCTGTGAGTGGCCATCTAAGATACTCCACTGGTTTTACCCCTTTGGGAGCAAGGAAGAACGAAGAAAACTAAAGATACAAGGGAAAGATTAGTCCAAAGGACTAATGGACCACATCCACCACGGCCTCCACCAGACTGAGTCCAGCACAACTAGATGGTGCCCAGCTACCACCACTGACTACTCTGACAGGGATCACAATAGAGGGTCCTGGACAGAGCCGGAGGAAAATGTAGAACAAATTCTAACTCACAAAAAAAGACCAGACTTACTGGCCTGACAGAGATTGTAGAAACCCCGAGAGTATGGCCCTGGACACCCTTTTAGCTCAGTAATGAAGTCACTCCTGAGGTTCACCCTTCAGCCAAAGATTAGACAGGCCCAAAAGACAAAATGAGACTAAAGGGGCACAACAGCCCGGGGGTGAGGACACTAGAACGCAGGAGGAGACAGGAAAGCTGACAATAGGGAACCCAAGGTCGAGAAGGGAGAGTGCTGACATGTCGTGGGATTGTTAATCAATGTCATAAAACAATGTGTGTACTAACTGTTTAATGAGAAACTAGTTTGTTTTGTAAACCTTCATCTAAAGTACAATAAAAAATTTTTAAAAAAACTCCCAATTTAAGAAAAAGAACATTACTTTTAAGCCTCCTGGTGACCCTTCCTATTTCCATTCCCTCCCCTCTCAGAACTATACTAAATTTTATGCTTATAATACTCTTAATTTTCTTTATTGTATTACCACGTTTGTACTCTTAAACAAATATTTAATTTTACCTGTTTTTTTTTAATGTCTTCTAAATATAATCACACTATCTGTACTCTTGTGCAATGTACTTTTTAATTTTTTGCCCAATTCAACTCAAGGGCAATGGGGTATTATGGTTCTGGCCTTCATCAAGCTGTTGCATAGAGCTATAATTTATTCACTTTCTCTGTTGCCTAAATTTATTTATCCATTCTCCTACTGATGGACATTGGGTTGTTTCTAGTTTCCTGCATTGCAAACAGTACTGTTAGGAACATTTTGGATATGTCTCCTGGTACACAAGTGCCAGGACCTTTGCTAGGGTATTTACCTAGGAACAGAATTATCGATCTATACATTATATGTTATGTGCATCTTCAATTATGCTAGATAATGCCCAATTGTTTTCTAAAGTAGTTGGACAGATTTATACTTTCGACTGCAGTGAAATATCCTCACATTTTTCTATTTTCTGAGAGAATTTCTTTTACTCTTTGGAATTTGGATTTTTTTTTTCTGCTACATACTTTTAATTTCAATGAGATTAGTCTTGTGTTCTGAAGTTCCTTATTTTGTTTAAACCACTATTCTTATTTCATGGATTCAGTATCTTTTCTTAAGTCTCTCTAGCTTTTTTTTCTTCCAATGTTATCTATTTCTTCAGAGATCCTTTTATTCATTTATTTGTTTTGTTCTCTTTCCTCTTGGAGACATCCCTCAAACTTCTGGTGATCTTCAGCTCTCTGTGAATATTTAAAAGTGAGGCACTAGAAAGCTGACTGGAAGCTCTGTGTACATGAATAAAACCCATTGCTGTCAAGTTGATTCCAACTCAAGTGACCCCATATGTTGCAGCACAGAACCGCTCCATAGGGTTTTCAAGGCTGTGACTGCTGGGAAGCAGACTGCCAGGACCTTCTTCCGAGGCACCTCAGGGTGGATTTGAACCTTCAACCTCTTGGTTAGCAGTTGAGTGCTTAACCGTTTGCGCCACCCCGGGGCTCCTGTGTACATGAAGAGGGCTTGTCAGCTGGTGGGTTTCACCGATAAGCCTGGGTGTGTTATTGGAGGATCCTCCTTAAATGTCAGTGTAGATAGGTCTTCTCTCTGGGGCCATACAGTTGCTCCAGAGATGAGTCCTTGAAGCTCTTTCTTTCTTGGAAAGTGTACAACTGGCTGTAGCAGTCTCAGAACCAAGTAGGATTAAGTGGCCTCACCCATCAGGATGCAGGCTTTCACTTCATCCTTGTTTTCAGTTCATTGCCTCTCCTGTCTTCTTCCACTGGGCCTGGTGTCCCCAGGTTTACAGCCTCCCTAATTAAATATTTCCACAGCAGGGGAGGTGTCTAACTACTCCTTACGCAAACTTTCAAGTTCCTTTGTTAGCACCCTCATGCCACATACGCCTTTTCTTCAATATTGGGATCCTCAAATGTCTGTACTCTTACAGAGTTTTAAGGCATAAATTGGCTTTCAGTGGAATTCTCCTGTGTAGGCATTTGATATTTAGTTATTTTAGCTCTGCTAATTCTTTCTTCTGCCTTCCATCTTCCAAAACTTGTCCAACTGCATTTGTCTCCTCTCCTATTCTCTTAGTCCTCATAGGTTTACACTTTCTTTATTTTAATTCATTTACTCTAATTTTAGAAGCGTTTTGGGAGGAAGTTAAAAAATGAAATCCATTGCTATCAAGTTGATTCCGATTGATGGCGACGCCATGTGTTACCCTGCTTCATAGGGTTTTCTTGCCTGTAATCTTTATGGAAGCAGATCGCCACACTTTTTTTCTATAGTGCAGCTGGGTGGGTTCAAATCACCAACCTTCAGGTAAATAGCTGAGCACAAACCATTTGCACTACCCAGGGGCCTAAACGTGTTAAATTCACCTTGTTTAACTGGAAGTTCATTCTTACACATTTTAAGGAAGGTAGACTTAATGAAAATATGATGACATTCATTCTGATACAAAGAACAATACTTTGCAAGATAAGTAATTTTCTTAGCAATGATGCTAAAGGCATACAAATACGTTTCCTCTTAAATACAAGAACTGCTTTGGATAATTAAAGAATAAAAGATGTTAACATAAATATATTTCCTAATAAAATACTCTTTATAATATTACTAAGCACTGAAAAACACACTGAAACTACTACCCCCTCAAAAAATGTAAAACGCAAAGAACACGAAAATAACTGTACATCTTAGCTGTATGTTTGAAATGTTATTTTAATATCAAATAAAAATGCCTCTACCATTAGCTAGCCTGCAAGTATTTATAAATATAAATCAGTTACTATGGACAATCCCAGGAGAAAAAATTGAACACATGCATATCTTAAAAGGGAACAAATATTAATAAGTAATTTAATTTTCAAAGTTGATTTTCAAAACAGAAACTCTAACTCAATCAGAAAAAATAAGTTAATCAGAGTAACTAAAAGGAATTATTTTCTATTAACCAGTTTTTCATTAAGTATGAACAAAATAATGCCACTCTTGTTGGAGAACCCATGCTGTAGCCTTTGCTAATACTTGTTTATAACATTGTAACTTAGACTTGAAGAATGTTGAAATTAATCCAGAATTTATTTACCCCCAATGTGTAAGGTATTCTTCAAAGACCACAAGCGCAGTTCAGTCAGGCAGAAAGACATCTGATGGCAGAAGAAATCTCTGTCCTGTTTAAAAATAATTAAAAAGAGGTACCAATTAATTATCTTCTATTACCAATAAAATCAAAATCCCTTAAGAATAGTAGAGTCATTTGCCACTACTGATATTTGAGGTATGATCCTTTAGAATAAACACACTTTATTGTATCCTTGATTAACCTTCCAAATATAAACTCTAGAAAAAGAGAAAATATAGTTTTTTCTAGATTTAGTATTTTATCACACTGAGAAATGTGATAGTAAGACTATATATATTTAGGTTTTCAATAGCATATGTATAGTTTTTAAGGCTCTGAGTATATTTAGAATTATTTGGTATATAAGCATTTTTTTTTAACTTATATTTTTAAGGAAAGGAAACATCTGTTAGATAGTTATGAGGTACAAACACATTTTGTGGTGCATTTTCAATATACAAAGCAAATATTTACAATACAATATCTCACATACAAATAGGCTAACTAAAGTGGAATTTGCAAGGTAAACGGTATATAGTTACTATAATAAGAAACATAATTACTTAAAAGAGAACTGTGAAACCACATTAGCATGCAGATTAGCTTGTTTATCTGCATGACACGATGGATCCAATATTTTACTCTAACTGCATAAAATATATATACACATATATATATATACATCTTACACTTCCTCTCAGTTATAACAGCAGGAGCTAGTGATCAATACTTTTGAGACTTTTTCTATCAAGTACAACTTTTTCAATTCGGCCTGACTGGGAGAAGGTCGATCTGAATCAAAAAAAAAAAAATTTTTTTTTTACAAAAAGTTGAAAGGAACCTATATAACTTTAAGATGTTTGCTTGGAAATATATACAGTACTACACTATGTGTATACTACATTTTTGTTGTTGTTAGGTGCCATCGAGTCAATTCTGACTCATAGCAACCTTACATACAACAGAACGAAACACTGCCTGGTCCTGCGCCATCCTCACAATCACTGCTATGTTTCAGCCCATCGTTGCAGCCTGTTATGGACTGAGTTTTGTCCCCCCAAAATATATGTCAACTGGGTAGGCCATGATTCCCAGTATTGTGTGACTGTCCACCATTTTGTCATATGATGTGATTTTCCTATGTGTTGTAAATCCTACCTCTATGATGTTAATGAGGTGGAATTAGAGGCAGTTATGTTAATGAGGCAGGCCTCAATCTATAAGATTAGGCTGTGTCTTAAATCAATCCCTTTTGAGATATGAAAGAGAGAACCGAGCAGAGAGACAGGGGGACTTCATACCAACAAGAAAAAAGCACTGAGAGCATAGTGCATCCTTTGGACCCAGGGTCCCTGTGCTGAGAAGCTCCTTGACCAGGGTAAGATTGATGACAAGGACTTTCCCCCACAGCAGACAGAGAAAACCTTCCCCTGGAGCTCACACCCTGAATTTGGATTTCTAGCCGCCTAGACTGTGAGAGAATAAATTTCTTTGTTAAAGCCATCCGCTTGTGGTGTTTCTGTTATAGAAGCACTAGATAACTAAGATACGGCCGATGTGTCGATCCATCTCATTGAGGGTCTTCCTCTCTTGTGCTGACCCTCTACTTTACCAAACATGATGTCCTTCTCCAAGGACTGGTCCCTCCTGGTAACATGTTCAAAGAACGTGAGACAAAGTCTCACCATTCTCCCTTCTAAGGAGCATGATAGTATTATAGTGTATACTATATTACTATATATTATGCATACTATGTTATATATTAGAAATTCATACAGTAATTTAAACACTATTAGCATTTTTTAGAGTGATCATAAAAGAAATGCTCCTTCCACGAAACTTCTGAATGAATAAGAAGTTTGTTGGAGATGAAGAAAAAGCCTCAGTTTCTTTAACACAGGGGGATGACTAAAAAAGTTCCCATACTATTCACTGTGATATGCAGATGACACAACCTTGCTTGCTGAAAGAGGGCTTGAAGCACCTACTGATGAAGATCAAAGACTACAGCCTTCAGTATGGATTATACCTCCGCATAAACAAAACAAAAATCCTCACAAGTGGACCAATAAGCAACATGAGGTTAAATGGAGAAAAGATTGAAGTTGTCAAGGATTTCATTTTGCTTGGATCCACAATAAACGTCCATGGAAGCAGCAGTCAAGAAATTAAACGATGCATTGCATTGGGCAAATCTGCTGCAAAAGACCTCTTTAAAGTGTTCAGATGTCAGTTTAAGGACTAAGGTGTGCCCAACCCAAGCCATGGTGTTTTCAATTGCCTCAAATGCATGTGAAAGCTGGACAATGAATAAGGAAGACTGAAAAAGAATTGATGCCTTTGAATTATGGTGTTGGCGAAAAATATTGAATATACCACGGAATTCCAGAAGAATGAACAAATCTGTCTTGGAAGAAGTATAGCCAGAATGCTCCTTAGAAGCAAGGTTGGCAAGACTTCGTCTCACATACTTTGGACATGTTATCAGGAGGGACAAGTCCCTGGAGAAGGACATCATGCTTGGTAAAGTAGAGGGTCAGTGAAAGAGGAAGACCTTCAACCAGATGGACTGACACAGTGGCTGCAACAATGGGCTCAAGCATAACAACGACTGTAAGGATGGTGCAGGACCGGGCAATGTTTTGTTCTGTTTGTTGTACATAGGGTAGCTATGAGTTGGAACCAACTCGACAGCACCTAACAACAACAACAACAACATTTATATGGGTAAGTCATTTGATTCTTTTGTGGACAGTATATAGATAATAAAAAATAATTTTAGATGTAGTACAAACTTCCTTGATGCTTCCTTCACCTTTACATTTGACCTCAGTGCAGTTATAATCAAGAAACAGATGCAGGTTCAACTAACTAGAGCTCAATGTAGTGAGAATTCAAATAGCAGAGTGAACAATGTAGACACGGCTGTGTGAAACTAACCAATCAGTTGTTGTTGGGTTGATTACCGCTCGTGGTGACCCCATGTTTGTCAGAGCAGAACTTTGCTCTACGGAGTTTTCAATAGCTGATCTTTTGGAAGTAGACTGCCAGGCCTTTCTTTTGAGGCACCTCTGGGTAGACTCAAACTACCAACCTTTCAGTTAGCAGCCGAGCATGTTAAAAGTTGCATCACCCAAGGCCTCTACAGAAGAGGGGGTTCAACCCTGCCTGGAACAGCAGGGTAATGAGACAGCTACGAGAAGTTGTGAAATTTTGGTGGGGCTTCAAAAAAGCATAGGATTACACCAGTTAGATAATGATGAAAATAATGGTGACAACAGCAACAGATAACTTATTAGACACTTACTTGTGCCAGGCATTGTTCTAAGCATTTTACACGAATTAACTCATTTAATCCCCATAGCTATTCCTTGAAGTAATATCATCATTACTCCCCAATGAGGAAACTGAGGCACAGAGAAGGCACAAAGCCAGCAGGTAGTGGAATCTGTGCTCACAGCCTCAGTGCTTTACTGAATTGGGATACAGAGAGGTGGTGGAAGGAGGTACACAGTAGTTTGAGTAAAAGGATGGCATGTCCAAGGTATGGCAGTAGATTGGTGCGTGTAGTGGAAAGTGATAGATAGATGAAGCTGAAAAGGGTGGGAAGGAAACAGCTTGTAATAACAATAGTAAATTTTAGATTGATCTGAATTTACTCCCTTTCTTGTTTTAAACTAAAAAAAACAAAACAGAAAACCCCAAACCAGTCCAACTCATAGTGACTCCGTACTGAACCTAGAGGACAGAGCAGAACTGCTCCCCTGCCCCAAATGGTTTCCAAGGAGCAGCTGGTGGATTCGAACTACAGACTTTTTGGTTAGTAGTCGAACGCTTAACCACCGCGCCGCCAGGGCTAAGGGCTGACACAAAGGACCTGTCAATCCCTAAATATGCTCTGCTCAAACCAGAAGCTGGCTGCCACTGTGTACAGGTGTGGAGGGGGAGAGCTGGTGGGCTGCTTTACTACGGGAGAGGACACAGTTCATTTTCAGCAAGTAGTGGAGCAAAAGCGGAATTATGTTAATTAGTCATTTTTAAACTAACTGAGTATTATCTTTCAGAGCTGTCATCTAGGGAATGACTCGAGCGAGGCTGCCATTACTCCAAAAAGTTCAAAACAACGTTCTTGGAACTGCTTTCTGAGGCTTATTTCAAAATTATGACTTTAGAGTTTTACTTTTTTTTTTAACCAAAATACTTACTGTAGTAGAATAAGTAAACTGCACCATTCTCATTTGGATAAGTGAGTTTTTGTTGTTCAAAAAAATCAGTTAATGAATTAAATAAATATATATTTTGCATCTATTTAGCTTAATGTGTAGATTCTAGATACTGACTGCCTGGTTTCTTATCCTAATTTCTCAGCTTACTAGCTAACTTAGACCAACTACTTAACTTCTCCGTCCCCCCAGCTATAAAGTATGTGTAATAAAGTACCTTCCTCAGGACTGTTTTGAAGGTACCTTTACTCAATTACCTTACCACTGCTGTTGCTGCTACTACAGTAATAAATATTATCTCTGTCCCTGCATCACAAAAGTCATAATGTGAAATGAATGAATAAGTACTAAGTACAATATTTATTTTATGAAGGAAAAACATCAATATGTGGAGAAGTCTCTACTCAAGAGGTACATTTGAACCAGGCTATGCAAATGAGTTAATATTTTACTTACAATAGAGAAGAAAGGATGTGATGAAATAGGTACACACAGCCTCTGATACTGAGCGTCAAATGTCACCAGCTTCTAGACTACTAGACAATACCACATTCTTCAATTTAGTGTTGATTCAGGTACTAACAATTAGAATTTATGATAATTTGGGGAAGACTAGCCTGAAATTTAGCTGTCTGTATCTATATAAAAAGGTTTTATCATGCAAATCAAATATAAAGTTTTATAAATAAAACCCAAAGAGCCACATCTTTATTTACATATCAACAGATGACCGTATATGAAATTCTATTAATCAATTTAAGTCAATTCAGTAATAAGAAATTTTTCAAAACTTTTCCCTGCTAACAACAATGGAGAGTGGATTGCAGTTTTGTCTAAAATCCACATTGGCTATTTTATGAGGCAGAAAGGCCTTTAGTTCAAAGCTGATAGGTTCACTGTCCATATCTCTCCTAAGTTTGAAAGTCCTAAGCTACTTAGAGATTATGGTGTTTGGAGAGAATAAGTAAAACGAGCTTTGTCGAAAGCTTTGCATGCCAAGCTAAAGGCCCCTGACCCTTTGTATTTGGACATAAGGGGAAATTCTGAGAACAATACAGTGTAGAGTCTATGACCTAGACTTGTCTTCCAGCTCAGCACCCAAAGATTCATGTCTGGTTCCAAAGGCGGTGAGAGGTCTGAGAAAAACGTACAAGGTATTTCTTAAAATGCTCTGATGTACAAACAACCCTACTCTGCGTTCCCACTAAAGAGTACAGGACAAAGGAGCAAGAAAGACATTGTTTTGTGGCCCCACAGGGAGGATATGGTATAAGAGTGGAGAAGCGACTGCAGGTGGTGGTGACCAATGGCAAGCAGGCAGAACTGGCAGCTCGTGGGGTTAATGTACTTATTTGGAGTGGTGGTAACCAGACAAAACAGGATCTGTACTCAGCAAAAGTAGACATGGTGGCCAAGCAGTGGCCCATACCACCCAGAGAATGGCAGCGATAATCAGTTGATGGAGCAGGCTAGCAAGTAGTGGGTGAAGCAGGAAGAAAAGAAAATGGCCAACGTCCATTAGTAATTGATTGAATTTGTTTATCGACATTATGAGACAACTCCTGTAGACTCCCCAAAATACATGTGATTAAGGAGAGGGCTTTGCAAGGGGTCATGCAAGGGGGGCAAAAGATAGTGAAATAGGAGTTATTTACCCTTCTTTTCCCCTGAACTTCAAATATCTGCTAGTAAGGCCATATAAAATTAAAGAGAATTAATGGAGTAAGTAAAACAAATCTGCAAAATCTATAACAACAACTAGATGGGCAGGGTGGGAGGGGACCAAATCACTATCATTTTTAGCCCTGAAGATGTATTGCCATCTTTACACCGTGCAAATTTTTTGAAAGACATTTAAATGTCTTGCATCTTACTCAAGAATGCCACCAGTTAAAAAGAATGCTGGTAGTTTCCTGGTTTAAAAAATCTGCCTGGAGGAAGTAGTCAAGACTGAGCTTGTATTATTCAAATACTGTATTAGTGCACAAATAGTTGTTTTGAAGGAGGGAAGAGAAGAATTTCAGAAGAATGCTGTATTCTGAATTTCAAGAGGGGGGTGAGGGCAGGAACTAGGAAGGTAGTAAAATCATTCAGGAAGACTTCACAAAGTAAACCGAGATGATGGTCCCCCACTCAGTACCCTAGTGCACTTCCCTGGGGGATAAAACCCGATGCACGTGGCTTAGAACAGGAGCAAAAGTAGTATCTGCCGAACCGTGTGGAGCCACACAGGGGGGAAAAATGAATGAATGACAAATACATATAGCAAATTGTCTTATTACTGAATATTGAATAGGACAAAGAAATATCCAAATGAAAAGAAGGAAAGATCCTAAACCAAAAAACCTCCTATAATTTAATTTTTCATTTATTTTTAAATATCTTTTTAACTTCTACAAATTTATTTTAATTTTATAAGGTAGTTGATGACAGTCTTAGAAGATCATTCTGCAAACTCTTAATCTCCATGAGAGAATAAGAAGCATGATTTAAACTGAGCTCAACCTAAATTTAGGATGACAGTTCTCTTGGGGGAGAGACTCTATGATAGTATAAATTTAGAATTTTGAGAATGGAGACATGAGCAGATTCTAGGGAGCCACATCTTGTTTTCCACTTATATTCTTAAAAAGTTTCAAAGCTTAAGTGTCTCCTCCAAAATGAGTTACGTTATAGTAAATTAATATTATTTGCCTTAAGAATAACTGTTACCATATAGACTAAATTTTGAGAAAGTAACATGCAAAATAGAAACAGTTACACTAAGATGCTGTGATTTGTTATACTTTGATCATATTCTTTTGAAAACTAAACAACTATGTTTTAGATTTGGAGATTACTAGTTACCAGATAAATCTGCAAAACACTTATCTTCTGCCGGGTAGTTAAGTATGCAGTTTGCTGGCCTCTGAAGTCAGCTATTTTTACTGTTTTGAGAAGTACAGGAAGCTTGAAGGCAAATAAACTCTAAACAAGATGGGGAAGAAAGAAATAAGAAAAAGAAGACATTGCTCTCGTTGTAACAAAGATAAATGATACTATGGCACTAACAAGACATTTAAAATGGATGTATTTTTAGCAAAAACCAAAAATCTCAAAGAGCCTAAGGGAAGCCTCCTTGGGCATAAACTTACAACATACACTTGCTATTTATTATCAATAGACTTTCTGATGAATATCTATCCACTAATAAGAGCTACAGCTGCTAACCAAAAGGTCAGCAGTTCAAATGCACCAGCTGCTCCTTGGAAACTCTGTGGAGCAGTTCCACTCTGTCTTACAGTGTCGCTGTGAGTCGGAATCGACTTGACGGCAATGATTTTTTTATTTTTAATTAAAAATGTACAGAAATAAAGGCAACTAAATAGCATGAATTTAAAAGAAACCACTGGTTACTTGTATTAGGTGCCTAATCATTAGATAATTTTCAAATTGCATAAAACAATGACTTCCTCCCACAGTAGCTTGTCCAAGGACACCAACATAGTATTATATTAATACTTGAGCATATACATGAACACATTTAATTGATAGCATGTTACCAGAATTAAGCATTTAAAAAATATTCAGCACTAAACCAAACAATTATGCAATGATAGAGTTTGTGTAAAAGGGCGAAGAAGTCTCAAAGTAAGACCTCAAGCTTGGATTGAACCTATTATAACAAAAGACTGAATGAAATACAAGGAACACTGGGTCATTTGTACCTCAGAGAGCCCTGTGATATTTTAATGTCCATTCACCATCACAAACACTTTGAGCACCTTTTGTATATGACATTTTACTGTAGGTCATAGATACAAAGATTTATAAAACAAGGTCTCTACTATCAAATAGCTTATAATCCAGTGTAGCATATTAAAAAGCTACAAAAACAACAATATGAAGCCATTGGTGGTTAAGTGTTAATCTGGTAACATAAACGAAGGGCTATGGATATTCAGTAGATATAGTAGTTTGATAATAAAGAAAAGATCTTATAAAGTAGAGGTCACGTGAAGATTGTATGAAGAAGAGAGATAAAATGAGGGAACAATATACAAAAGCATAAATTAGGCAGAAAAATGCAAGGTTTATTTGAGGAATAATAAGTAATCTGGTTTGGCGCATGAGATTCAGGACCACACTAAGAAAGTCTCTGAATATTTTTTTATTTTTATTTTTATTTTACTGGGTAGCTAACGAAGAATAATAAAACGTTTCTAATCCAGGAAAATAGTAAAAGTAATCAACAGATCAGAATTGTTGCCAAGATTAGCTTGGGGGGTGGGGGAGGCAGGGAGAGAAGAGTGGAGAAGTATCTGATGAAAGTGACCTGTTAGAAAGGCAATAAAATAACACGCAACCCTGTTGTTCAGTATCAAGGACTTGAAATGGGATGATGAAGATGAAGTTGGAATGTAGATAATGTAAATAATTCTGATCTTTTGAAGAAAGAATCAATAGTGTATAGGGGGGACTGACAAGCTGTGGAAGTGAGGAAGAAGGAAGAATCCAGAATGATCACCAAGGGATGGGAATCTGGTTACTGCAGGAAGAGCGGCCCTTGCTTAGAACATGGAGGCTCCATGCGTCCTTCATCTTGTGCCAGTCAGAAAGGTACCAGTGCATTCCCTCTGTTCACAACAACCATTTAGCCCACACACCTCAATTTTCCTAGCCACCGACCAGGATGCTGGGTGTCCTGTTACATGTTTGCCTTGCCCCTTGGTTTGTAACTCTGGCTCTTCTTCTTTCTTAGAGTGTGATTCAGCTTCTTTACCCTGGCAATGATATCTTGGCCACACCTGGTTCCTAGGAACCCCTTAACCAGACTTGTTCCCACCTGGTTTATCCTAGTTTTAAGGCAGGGCCTGGACTAAAACATACTTAGAAACAGGTCAGTCTAGAAGAGGAGTGAGTTTGGTAATGTTAATAAGCTGAATTTTAGACACAAGGGGAGTTTAAGGTACAAGGGAAACATCTGGGTAGATATGTCCACCTGGTAGCTAGAAATAAAGGGGCCTGGGCTATACAAAAACTATTCTGGAATTTTCTAAATGGAGAAGAAAGTTAAAGTCACTGAGTAAGTTCCCAGAATAAAAATAAAGTCAAGGCTAGGAATTTTGGTAATGCCCCAGTTAGGAGACAATGAAAAAGACAGATTAGGACAACAGAGTGTCGAAAAGCTACGGGAGAGAAAAAAAAAATTTTTTTTAAGTGGTTATTGGTAGCAATCAAGGATCCCTGATGGCATAGTGGTTAAGCGCTCAACCGCTAACCTAAACGTTGGTGGTTCGAACCCACCAGCCACTCTGCAGCAGAAAGATGTGGCGGTCTGCTTCCATAAAGATTACAGTCTTGGAAACCCTATGGGGCAGTTCTACTCTGTCCTGTTGGGTCGCTGAGTCAGAATTGAATCGACTCAATGGCGATGGGTTTGGTATTTTTTTTTAATAGTATCAAGTTTCTTGTTTTTAAATTTTGATGTAGAGATGACCTCAATTTGGTTTAATGAGAAGTAACGTTTTATCAAAAACAAAGATTAAGTCTGCTGAAAAAGGTGTGGTCCCACTGTTCTGAATGCTGGGCTCGGAGCCAAAAATGCCTTCTTTCTAATCCTGCTGTGACAAACTTACTCCAAATTGTTTAGCCTCTATGCCTCAGTTTCCCCACCTACAGAAATAAGGATAATGATATTGACCTACATTTGTAAGAGTGTTGTAAGGATTAATGTTGTATGATGCTTTGAAGATGAAAAGTGCTGAGCATTATTAGTGGGTATTGTATGACTAATCGCCTGTAATACTGAAAATTTTATCCTTTGATTCAAACAGCAGCTATCAAATAAATGTTCTAGCTCCCCTAGTAACATCAACTTTCCAAAATTTTATTATTAAATTGTTATTTAAAACGTACCTAGATCATTCTATTTGAAATACCGGTGGCATAGCTTCCAGCATCACAACACGCAAATCACCACAGCACAAACTGACAGAGATAAAGCTATATCACAAGTCTTATCTCATAGCATATATAGTTTTAGATCAGTTCAGAAGCCTAGGAAACCTTTTCAACCTAAATGTTATGCGTAAATACTCAGGGCCTATTTATTTGATAATAAGCATCCATTGCAAGTATTCAATAAATGTCAAAGGATAAATACCTTACATTATGATTTTTTTAGATTTAACACATAACACTAAGCAATTAACTGATAGAAGTAAAACACAAAAGCACAGAACAGTGTTTTAAAAACACTGTCATGTCCCTTTTTTAAAAAAACAAGCTTTAGGACCTAAAAGTGTACAAAAAATGAAGAGAGAAACTTTTACACCCATTAGACCCCCTGTCTGGTCTTTTGTTTCTTCCGGGGTTTTGAAATTACAATAGTTAGTGTATGCTTATTGTTTTAAGAAATGAAACAATACAGAAGTGTTAAAATGAACACGTTGTACTCTCGGATCCCCCGCCCCCCCCACACCCACATACACTGAAGGGAGCCACTGCACAGTGTAGCATGTGGCCTTCCAGACTTCCTTGATGCCTTACAATATGCCCACACTCATACTGACTTGTTTTGTATTTCTGTAAAGACAGGATAATGCTATACATACAACTAGCTTTTTTTTTTTCCATTGAACACCACAGCATGGATATTCTCTCTGTTAGCATATACAGATGTACCTTATTGCTTTTTAATAGCTGCAAGACGTTGCACAGGAAAGTGATCATACTTTACTTAACAGTTCTCTTAGTGAACAACCTTTTGCTTCTAATTTTTGCCTTACAAATAATACTACCGTGAAAATACACAGGTTTACCTTACATTTTGATAACCAAACCAAACCAGATGCCAACTAGTCAATTTTGACTCATGATGACCCCATGTGTTGCAGAGTAGAACTGTGCTCCATAGGGTTTTCAAGGCTGTGACCTTTTGGAAGTGGATCACCAGGCTTTTCTTCTGATGTGCCTCTAGGTGGGTTCAAACTGCCAACCTTTCGGTTAGTAGTCGAGTGCTTAATAGGTACTGCCAAATTGTCTTCCAAGATGACTGCACCAATTTGCATTTCTACCAATAACATGACTGCACTTTTCCCTACATCCTTGACAACAGGGAGCATTATCAAGTTTTTAATTTTTGTCAGTCTGGTAAGTTAAACATGGGTTCTTGTAATTTTAAGTTTCATTTTCCTATTCATTAAAGAGATCAAATATCTTTTCACGCTTTTTTTAAATAATATTTTATTGTGTTTCAGGTGAAAGTTTACACAGAAAATTAGGTTCCCCTTGAACAATTTTTACAAAAATTGTTCCATGCCACTGGTTACAATTTTTACAACGTGTCAGCATTCTCATCATTTCCATTCTGCCTGTTCTGTTTCCATTGATCTAGCTTCCCTGCCCACCTCCCCCACCTTCTCATCTTTACTTTTGGGTAAATGTTGACTGTTTGGTCTCATATAGCTAATTGTTTTAGGGAGCACATTACTCATGGGTGATACTGTTTATTTTATAAGTCAATGTATTATTTGGCTGAAAGGTGACCTGCAAAATAGCTTCAATTCCAAGCTCAAAGGGCATCTTAGTGCGACAGTCTTGGGGATTCCTCTAGTCTTTGTGGGTCCAGTAGATCTGGCCTTTTTTAGGAATTTGAGTTTTGTTCTACATTTCCCATTCTATCTGGGACCTTCTATTGTGTCCCTGGCCAGAACGGTCGGTAGTGGTAGCTGGGTACCATCTAGTGCTTCTGGTCTCAGGTTAGAAGAGGCTGTGATTTGTGTGGGCTATTAGCCCCATGGACCAGTTTCTTCTTTGAGCCTTTGATGTCCTTCAGTCTCTTTTGCTCCGTATGAGTAGAGACCAACAGTTGTATCTTAGATGGCCGCTTGCAAGCTTTTAACACCCCAGATGCTATTCACATTATTTTTGTGACCTATGTTATGCCAGTTGGCTAAGTTGGCCCCCACTCATGTATTTTTTAACAATTTTGCTTCTTCTATAAATTAACTGTTCTATAGGGTCGCTATGAGTCAGAATCAACTCGACGGCAATGGTTATCTTTAGCCCATGTTTCTACTGAGTTCTTTATCTCTCTCGTGTATTAATAAAATTAATCCCTTATTATATACATTGGAAATACTTCTTTTAAAATAATTTTCATCACCTTTATATGTGAAGGAAATAAGAGAATGCAGAATCCACAACTTTAAAAAGCTGGGCATAACATTAAATAGGAAGCTTTTTGAACTCAATTCAGCTAGTGCTGCACAAAGTCCCAAAGAGATCTAGGCCCGTGGCCAGAGAGTGGTTCTTCACAGCTGCTAACAACTGGTCAGATGACACCATTTCTGGATAAAGCAAAAGGCTGCAGATTGCAGATCGCTATGTTCCAAGTGAACCTGCACAGCATTCTTACTAGAAAAAGTTAGAAGAAATTCTATGCCTAGAAAGAAAAGTAGGAGTCCCTTCACTTTCCTGAAATACATTGTGGTGGAAATCTTTACAAATCTCCTTTTGTACTCAAATTTGGAAAATATTCCACTAGGGCACTGTTCAAACTGTTTAATTTACTTAGTTAAATGGATCTTGTCAATTTAACATTTTCCGTACTGTAAGCAGTTTTGGCCTTTAAACAGTTTATCACTAGCTTCTTCATTGCGGCCTGCTTCCTCTTCTTCATTCTACTCATTACATGCAACAAATTAAATTTCACTAATATTTAAAGATCAGTGCTGACCTTTGCATAGCCATTTTCTAGGTTCCTGTTAATACAAACATCTTGTTTGCTGATGTTCATTTTAAATATTTTGCTGCACACAAGTTTCAATTATTCCAAAAAGATCTGTATCAGGCTGAGGTGCATTTTTCCACGACGATGCAAAATAGTCATGCAATGGATTGCATAAGCAAATAATAACAATCACCTTCTGTCACCACTATCCCCAACACATTTACCTACCTTTGTGATCTTCAAAAATATGGACTTAATTCTTTTGAGGACTGACTATCTCAACACAACAATAAAAAGACGAGGAAAACAGAAATGTTGGCAATGTGATGATAATTAATTCTAGATTATAATTCCATAAATACAGTCTTATGCTACACTTGAAAGAAAGAAATGTGACTTTGAAGAAAAAATAAACTGAATTTCAGGAATAATTCCTAAAGAGCTCAGTTAAAGACAAGAGAACACTGAAATGCTCTTATCTAAACCAATGCTTTAAATGCCAAAATAATTTGTCAATTTGGAGTTACCGTTTTAAAAAGCATATAAATCAAAGACTGTTGTGAAGCGAGCAAGAATGAAAAAAGATCCTTTCTCTTCAAATAGGGAAGACAGGGTAAAATTCTGAAGTGGCCCGAAGCTATACCATCTCAACCTTGTCAAATTTCACTTGTCAACACTTTGATGACAGATTGCCAGCCCCCTCCAAAAAACAAACCCTAGTAACTGTTGAAAGAAACTGCTTCTTATAAAAAGTGGAATAACTCAGGCAACTTGATAGTTGTACTTCAAAATCTCTCTTTCCTGAAAGAGAGTTAAAGCACTTTTTCTCTGTGGCTTCTATCAAAACTACGACGCTAAAGAACCCCCCCCCCCCAACGTGGGGAAGTAAAAGATGAATAACATTTTTAAGTATTTACAAAATGTATTTAATATTCATTATTTCATTTAATCTTCACAGTAACCCTCTGAAATTATATTCTCAGTTGTGCATGTATGTGCATGCATAGGTACTGTGTATACACACAAAAGCATTTTTCTGAGCAGAGAATGGCAGTTTCTCCAAAGAGTTTGTATGCTTCCCCCAACTGGCCCCCAAATCAACTCTGAAAGACCCTAAATCCCTTAATTTCCATATGTGGAAACTGAGACCTAGAAAGGTAAAGCAATTTTAAATAGAGGTAAAGTTCAGTCAGCTTGTTAGTGAACAGTTAGGACTAGCGCAGTGCTCTACTAACTAAACACAGCACTAAATAGATCCTCTGGTTAAGCTTCTGCATAACCACCTGAGACAGGTGTCAGTTAGACCTGTATAATTAATCCACGGTGAAAGATGTAGAAGGAGCCTATTTTCTGGCCAACTTTTACTTTAATGTATTTTGCTTAGAAAGCTCTTAGAGGAAGTTATTTGAATGACTATTTAAGGATTATTTAAAATTAATATATCAATAAACCAAACCCGTTGCCATCGAGTCAATTCCTACTCATAGCGATCATATAGTGCGTTAAGTAAACTGATGTATCTGAAACAATCAAAAAGTCCTGATTTAAAATTAGTATTTTTTAGGCACTAAAGAACTTTCACACTATTTGCTTAGCAAACTTCATAGATAATACTAAAATAAGCTGCAACATTAATTATTAATGTTTTATGGCTGATTATTCGATAAATTAAGGTCTTTGTTTTAAGTTACTGCATTATAGCAGAGAAGCTTTGTTTCGACTTTGACTACCGTTACTTCATACTGGCTCCCATTAAGTTCTCAGCCCCTCAGTGTCTGTGTCAAGTTCGTAATAAAATGTAAACAAACCCTAAATTTGTAAGAATTCTGCAGTGAATGCCTTATATTGTGATTTGATCTTCCCTTCTACTCTTTCTTTCCTGATTGGTTGTGTTTGCCTTTCCTAATGGTTTGTCACAGCGTTCTTACTTATACAATACTTTTCGTATTTGGTTTCAATGGCTGAATAGAGAACCAAAGTAGATAACCCAGAAAAGAACAGCCTTTTCTTACTGAAAGACTGTGAACAACCACCACGATCCCTTGAGAATGGATCGATTTCACCTGAATATATTTAACACAAGCGTACATCATCAGGGCTTAAAATGTTAATAATTCCCTAAAGCAGTAGGAAATTATTACCTAATATTTAAAACTCAGTAGAACGAAACAAGAAAGATCTGGATTATGATCATGTTTTACCATAAAGCCCAAATAAATCATGGATTAATTAAAAAGATGTTTCCTATACAAGTTATTGAGAATTAAATGGGATAACATATTTGGAAATATGTGGCAAATAATAATTGTTCAATAAATGTCAGTTTCCCTTTTCTGAATTTTCAGTACATTGATTTCAGTAATGCTTAAGTAAAAAAATATAATCATTTTATATCATTTACTGAATATCATTTCATCTGCTATTTTTTGTTTGGTTCAACCTACATTATGGAACATCTACTAAGTGCCAACCACCAGACCAAGTACTGTGCCAGGCATTCAGGATAAGAAGAAAACAAGTGCTATTCAACCTTTAGGCACATCATTGTGAAATCTTAAAACACTGGGTCAGGGCTTTGAACAAGCTCTTGCTGGTTCAATCACAGGCAAGGAAGTGACACCAAAACAGACCCAAATTTTTGATATTTGGGTAAACCAGAACCATAACCAGAACAGGAAAAATTATAGCAGTAGCCCTTCTAGAAACTTAATCTCCCTCTTAGAAAACAAGGGCAGTGTATGCATTGCATAGCAACCAAATCTCATGCCAGTTGGATTTTTCGCACAGTTGGAAACAGCTGTGCCCCACTCTAAGCTGGCGGCCTACCGCACAGCTTTGAACGTGTGTCACTCTCAGTCCTGGCAATAATCCAATCTCACACATCAGGCTCTGTAAAGGGCTCACTACACCTCTTTCAAGTCTCCCATTTCAGGGTTTCAACCTGTAATTTTTCCCATTCCAGTTATGGTTCCAGATCACCCAAATTAAAAAAATTGAGTCTGTTCCGGTTTCGCTTCATTAGCCATGACTGAACTGGTTTGAACTGGTTCAAAGAGCGCACTGGGGATAAACAAAATATACTAAAAGTTTCCAGAGAAGGAAAAAAAATGAAAACAGGCCACATAAAAAGGATCAAGTCTCAAAATCTCATCAGATTTCTCAACAGCAACGTTGGAAGTTAGAAGACAAGGGAGCAATATTTTCAGTTTATGAAGGAAAATTATTTCCTACCTATAATTCTACATCTAGCCAAACTGTCACTTAAGCGTGAGGTTGGAATAAAGGCATTCAGATAGGCAAGAGCTCAAAAATTTAACTATCATACATCATTTTTCAGGAAGTTACTGGAGGATGTGTCCCACCAAATGAAAGAACAGGCCAAGAAAGAGGAACATACAGGACCCAGGAAGTAAGAGATACACACAAAAATAAGAAAAAGAGGATTTCCAGAATGGTGATGAAGGGAAATCCTAGAATGATATCTGTGCCTCATGTAAAGGGCAGTGAGTCCAGATTAAAGCAGGAGAACAAAGAACTCAAATGTCTCCAAGAAAAAAATAAAACTGATAGAGTAATAGACTACTTGATGCATTTGAACTTACTGAAATAAGAATTACACCTTGGCTGGGGATGTTGGGAATGAAGAAATAATAGATCTATAAAAAATACGCAAATAACAAAGTAAAACAATCATTAACTGCAAAGAAAACAAAAAGTTGTGCAAGAAGAAAAATGTAATCGTAGTACACTGCATAGTTCAGCTTGAATATTTACATAGTTCAAATAATGTAAACACACCATATTGATTTAACCAAATATTGTGCTATAACTGTTAAGAGGGGAGACAAGGAAGTGTGTAGAAAGAGGTGGATGCAGGGTGGACATTAAATCCTCCTCTACCAAAGTTAAGAATAGATTAAAAACTTTTTTTTTAATGAAGAAATAAGTACATACATGTTGTTAACAAATATGGAGGTAAATACCAAAAGAAATAACCAACTAATTTAAAGTGGTTGAATCTGAAGAGTGCTGGGGAAGAGAAATGCTGTTGTTACTTATGAGCCTTGTAGAAGTCTCACTTTTTATACTGTATAGATATGTGTCATTTTGATTTAAAGAAAAAGTGTCCCACCTCCTACCAGATGGAAGTGGCAGTGAACACTGAGTAAATGCCTCATCCGGTGCTTCACCTACTGCTGTGTTAATGCCTTTCATGTCTTGGTAAACCAAAACCAAAGCAAACCCACTGCCTTAGCGTTAATTCCGACTCATGGCAGCTCTATAGGACAGAGCAGAACTGCCCCATAGGGTTTCCAAGGCTATAAATCTTTACGGAAGCAGACTGCCACATCTTTCTCCCACGGAGTGGGCTGGTGGGTTCAAATCTCGACCTGTCGGTTAGCAGCTGAGTGCTTAACCACTGTGCCACCAGGGCTCCTCAATGTCTTGGTAATCATCCTTTATTCTCCTTCAAATTGATGGTCTGTTTAACCACACATGACAGAGCTAATCATACTACCTTGATCATACTACCTTGATAGGCATTTTCTATGAAATAATATTTTCTATTAGAAGTACAAGTAGGGATTTTTTCTGGGGTAATTCACCACTTTGTCTTTATTAACATTTCATGGTATCATCTGGCATTTAAAAATAGGGGCAAAACTGCCACCCACAGTCTGCCTTTAGTATTTAGGAGGTGTATATTCTGTGGAATGCCAGGCTAACTCAAAGCTTCTTTGGGGTAGACATTAAACACCCAGATCCAGATATGGAGCTCAGGAATGAGATCTAGGATGGAAATACAGGTTTAGGAGCCAACAATGTAGTTGAACCCATAGATGTGGATGGAAAGAGGGGTGGTAGCTAGTGGAGTTTCAAGATGGAGGGAAGGTATTTTTTAAGATGAAATAGACTTAAACTATCAATTATTCTTATGACTTCTGTATTTGCAACCTCTCTTCCCCATCTTCTTTCTCAAGGAATTGGCCAGCACCAAGGATGCAAAGAACACAGCATCAATAGTTGGTTTTGGTGCCAACTCAGGCTGCAGCTGTATATCTGTAAACAACAGTAGAGTTCAGATTTGTCACAGATGGTGCCAGCCAATGAGAAGATGCCTCAGTATTAAAAGCAGGGTTTGCTATTTCTTTTGGTATGATTAATAAATATTATATGTCAGTTATTTTCTAATAAAGAAAAATCCGATGGTACATGTATTTTTAAAAGCAAGTTATTTTTTTATTTATAGCTTATATAGAATTTGAGCGCATGGTGGGTTTGGCACAAACACTGGTTAACTATGCATCCTCTTTTGATGAACATTCCAGTTTTCACTTATGTAAAGAACCTAATTAGTGAAACTGATATTTGGATGATTTGGCTTTTCAAGCATAAATTTCATGGTGTGACTTCTCCACTGCAAGTTGTCCAATACGTGGCACACTCTAAAGTACTTCCCATTAAAGGCAGTTAATAAAAGTTTTAATACTGTTACAGAGAAATGATCAATTCCTGAAAACGACATTGTGTTGCGTGTTGTTAATCTCTTATTTATAATCTAAATCACTAATTATGCCAATAAGGAAACAAGTGCAATTTGCCTTTAGAAATCCCATTTACTTGTTTCTAAGCCTCCACAAGCTTGGAAAATCTCTAAGCTGTTCTTGTTACTCGTTTTATGTTTGATCGAGAAGAGAGAAGAACATTTTCTTCTCAGCTAATTACAGAGCACCTACTGTGTGCTTAGTGTATTATATGCATTTTCTCATTTAGACTTTACAACAACCATGTGAAATAGTTTTTATTTCCCTATTTTATAAGTTAGAAAAGTAATAGAGCTATACTTTTAACCCAAATCTGTTTAAGTCCAGCCCATGATTTTGCCACTATATACTTCTTTCCTTGTAAGTTATTTAAAACATTTTTTTAAGTCTGATGTTCTTTTACTAGGTTAAATATATAAGTACTATACTTAGAACGTGGATAAAAATCTCATAATAACAGACCCCATAGGGCATCTGCATTTCCAGTCTTATCACAAACTATTTTCCCCTTCTCAACAACATGGACTATACTATGGCTACACAGAAATGTCACTGTTTAATTTTTAAGAGAAAGAAAAGGAGGAAAGGAGGGAAGAAGGGAGGGAGGGAGGAAACAAAAGACAAACAGAAACCCCACCCTTTCGGCCCTTCTCACTGTCACCACCTCCACGTCCTCTTTCCCCTCTTTGGCTCCACTTCTTCTAAAATATATCCCCATCTTTCTACTTCTTTCCATCTCCACTCATACTGCCCTTGTCTAGGCCATCATCATATCTCACCAGGGGTACTTCAGCAGCCTGCTGACTGGTGTCTCCTTTTTGACTTTCAAGTCCCTCCAATCCATTTCTCACAGAACTGTCAGCCTGGTCTTTTTAAAATATAAATTAGATCACTTTCTTTATTTACCTAAAGCTCTTCAAAAGTTTCTCATTACATATGTTCTAAAGTGCTTATGCTGGCTTAAATACCCCTGTGTGAGTTGGCCCATGACTACTTCTACATAATTTCCCTTTACTCTCCTTGGAAAGACAAGTTGGGGTGAAACTGTAAAGAGTCTTGGATGAAATGCAACAGTCTGGACATTATCCCATAGGCCACTGATCTTTAAACTTTTTTTTTTTTTTGGCACTTTTTTCCTTAAAATCTTGCAAACCATTTCAATATATAAAACTTGTAAAAGCTGAGATGTTCTAGTTGAAGCAGGGTCTGGGGGGGCCCCAATCCAACCACTAATACCAATAGCTCCTTAAGGCCAAATGGTTCAGTGTGGGGGTAGGGGATCCTTTAGTTCTTATTGTCTAATCCTATTGCATTGCCTGGATTGACCTTTCATTTCTCAACTTTCCTCTCACACTTTATCCTTTAGCTCAAAGTCTGTGAATATTCTTTGACTTTACACTGCAGATTACTACTTCAGTCTGTAGCTAGAGCTATTATATCTTTATATATATATACATATATATATAAATTTGGGGGATCGTATTTTTAATTTCAGAGATCTCTCTCACTTCTTTTGGATAGTGGCTTACTCTTGTTCCATTATTTTCTGGAATCTGTCAAAGATTATTGATTAGAATATATTTTATGAGCTCTTCTGCTCCTTGAATTAAATGTTTCACCCAAATCAGTTGTCTGTGTGTTCATGTAGGCTCTTCTTTTTCATGCTAGTGTTTTTCTTAAATGTGTGGTGGTCCTTGGTTATCCACTCATATTTGCGAATGAAGATCCACACCGATGAGCATACTTGGCTGGCACAGGTTTTCTTTGCAGATGTAGAGTTGTTCCCCCATCAGGTCTCTTTCCTGTACAGGAGGCCTGACTGCTGCTATGTAAGTAGCTGTGGCCTCACTGAGATGCGCAGGCTGGACCAGGGAGCAAGCTGGGGAGGCCTTACTGGCAAAAAAAAGTAGAGCTTTAACCTGGTGTTGGAATACTTTAATGTATTTCCCTGCTGGGCAAGGCTGCCCTTCCATTCTATTTTTCCTCCTGTCCACGTCTATAACATAGGTAAGTCCCCCCACCCAAGTCACTTCAGAATCAGCTGTTTATCACATGCCCCTACAGCCACACTGGAAGCTTTTCCCAGATAGGTGGTTTACCTTATATACGGTTTTTTAATTTAACAAAAAGGCAAATGTCACTGCTGCTTGCTGTTTGTACCGTGTGTGTGTGAGTGTGTGTGTGTGTGTGTGTGTGTGTGTGTGTGTGTGTGTGCATGTTTTAATGAAAGACTTGGGAATGGAGAACTACAAGCCCTCGAATTTAAGGTTGTTGCTGGGTGTTGACGAGGCAGCTCCGACTCATAGCGACTGTGGTCAAATGCGTTCCTTTGTGTGGCCTTTTGCCTTAGTTCTTTGGAAAAACAGCTTGAGTGATTTTTCCCGAGCCCTGAAGAGTTAACTTTCGCCCCACTTTTCTACACCAGAGGGTTTGTTACTTTCGTCCAGGTTGATTGACATTTCCTGGGTAAACTGCAAACAACTTATGGTTTGATACTTTTTGTTTGGTCCTGTGCTGCAGCCTGCCCCATGACTGGTATGTACTTTGTAGGGACTGGTCAACATACTATGCAAATGAAGTAAGTAGAGACTATGCAAATGAAGTTACTATAGCCTACTATGCAGATAAAATGTCTGTGGTCTACCAAGAAGGGACTGGTCAGTTTATGGCCCTAGTATGAGGGCTAGGCCTTGAAATTGATGAGGAGTTTGTGTATATATGCACCCAATCTCACAGAGAGTTTTCAGACAGAAAGAAGCAGGAAGAAGCGGAAGAAAGAAAGAAGAGAAAAGAAGCAGAGAGCAAGAGAAGTGGCAAGGAACCTCCTAAAAGAGCTGTAACACGGGTCAAGGGCTATAACACTGAAGACAGTGAGAGGTCCAGAAGGGGCCCAGTGGCAGAGCTGGCGGTGATGGACAGCAGGGCCAAGAGGAGCCTGTTGTCGGGGGGCCAAGATGAGGCCTGTCCTGAGGGGGCCAAGAGAAGGACTGCATGGCTGAGAGGAGGTGACGGAACTGTCTTACACGGAGGAAGGGAGACTCTGTGTCTTGGTTATCTAGTGCTGCTATTACAGAAATACCACAAGCAGATAGCTTTAACAAACAGAAATTTATTTTCTCATAGTTTAGAAGGCTAGAAGTCTGAATTCAGAGTGTTGGCTTGGGGGAAGGCTCTCTCTGTCAGCTCTGGGAGAAGGTCCTTGTCTCTTCAGCTTCTGCTTCCTTGTTCCTTGGAGATCTCCATGTGTCTTGGCATCTCTCTTACCACATCTCTCCTCTGCTAGCTTGTTTAATTTCTTTTATATCTCAAAAGAGACTGACTCAATATACCCTACACTGATCTTGCCTCATTAACGTAACAAAGACAATCCATTCCCAAATGGAATAATAACCACAGGCATAGAGATTAGGATTTACAACACATATTTTGAGGGGCTATAATTGAATCCATAACACTTTGCCTGCATGCTTCCTGATCCTGATCTGGGTTGTAGCCTGTCGCTTCCTTAATAAACCATTTAATTGTATGTATGGTCTGTGAATTGTGTGTGGCTATTGCAACAGATTATCAATCCCAAAAGAGAAGTGGAGAGTGCTGTGGGAGGAACAGCTGGTGTCAGAACTGGTAAAAAAGTTGGAGAGTGGAGGTATGTCTGACCTCCACCTCATAGGGATGAGCCTTGGGCTGATCTTGATTTGAATTATACCCCTTGAAGTTAGACAGGTTCTGACGCTACTCCTCCTACTATTTCACAGCGAGCCTATGTATAACAGAACAAAATGTTGCCTGGTTTGGTGCCATCCTCACAACTGCTGCTATGTTTCAGCCGAATGTTGCAGCCATTGTTTCAATCCATCTCATTGAGGGTCTTCCCCTTTTTTCACTGACCCGCTACTTTACCAAGCACAATGTCCTTTTCAAACGACTGGTCCCTCCTGATGACGTGTCCAAAGTAAGCAAGATGAAGATTTACCACCCTTGCTTCTAAAGAGCATCTGGCTGTACTTCCTCCAAGACTAATTTGTTCATTCATCTAGCAGTCCATAGCATATTCAGTATTCTTTGCCAACACCACAATTAAATGCATTAATTCTTCTTTGGTCTTCCTTATTCATTGTCCAGCTTTTGCATGCGTATGAGGCAAATGAAATAAAATGGTTTGTGTCAAGTGCATTTTAGTCATCAAAGTAACAACTTTGCTTTTTTAAGATTTTAAAGAGGTCTTTTGTAGGAGATTTGCTCAACATAATACATCGTTTTGCCCTTTAAATAATCACCCTACTTTACCAAGAGGTCCCTGGGTGGTGCAAATGGTTAAGCACTTGATTACTAGCAGAAAGGTTGGCGGTTCAAACATAACCAGAGGCACCTCACAAGACAGGTCTGGCAATTTACTTCCGAAAGGTCACAGCCTTGAAAACCCTATGGAGCAGTTCTACTGTGCACAAATGAGGCCTCCATGAAACAGAATGGACTCGATGGCAACTAACAACAACAACTGCACCAAGAACTTGAAGTCTCTGAGGCTCTGCTTTAATTCAATTGTTTTCTCTTGTGTGCATTTTGGGGCGTTGTTTTCTACATAAATCTTGTGCTTCTGTCTCTCAGGAATTTCTCGCAATTTATGACAGCAGCATTTCTTACTGTCCAATTGTATTAAGAACTTATTCTTTAATCTCCCCCCCACCCAATTTAAAGGATTTCGAAAGAGTAGTAGCATATATTTAAAATTTTCTTTTAGAAAGGTAGAGGTTTTAGAATATTTGTAAATTAAGAGGAAAGATACAGTCGATTAATGCAGGTTAGAGATACAGAACAAAATTCGGGGGGTGGGGTGGGGACAAGATGGCAGAGTAGTCAAACACTTCCAGTGGACCCTCTTACAACAAAGACCCGAGGAAACAAGTGATTCAATTATATATGGCAATCTGGGAGCCCTGAACATCAAAGGCAGAGTTGAGGAACTGGACTGAGTGACAGGGGGAGGGAGAGACGGTTCAGAGGCAGCAAGGAGTTGCCAAACCTGACCCTGCGAGAGCCTGAGCCCTTCAGGCCTGATCAACGCCATGGTGAGTGGTGAGGCAGGCAAGTGACAGTGCTCAGGAGGTGCATTTTCTCCACTGAGAGAGACCCAGCCGCTGAGAGTCTACATAGCCACCCAGAATCAGTGGGAAGCAGGCCCCATCGGCGTAAGAGAAGTAACCGCATATGGCCTACTGCATGGATCAAAAACACCCTCCTTAGGGAAAAACCTCTCTCCCATTTACCTCCCTGTTCCCTGCTCTGCACTGGGTCCCAGACGGGATTCAGCAATTGCCGAGTCCCCTGGGCCAGAAGTAGGATCTGTCACCCACCCGGAGCCATTCTCCCTGCCTTGGAGAGTGAACAAATTAACAAAGAAAGGAAAAAATAAACTGCCAGCTCCCCTAAGCCAGGAACCCAGGGTAGGCACAGCTCCTTTGCCTACGCACAGGCATAACAGATCCACAGACTATGAGTGCCTCTCCCCCTACACAGATATGTGTGGGCCCATCTCAACAGCATAGGCTCCCATTACCGCAGGAGAACAGGGTACATACCAGAAGTTTAACTTCAACTGTCTCAGCTGTGAAGTGGCAGGTTCTTCACATTTGACACTGATCTGCCCATTAAGCAGGGTCTTCACCTACTCACATCAGGGGCCTGAGGACTCGTGGCTCCACCTACGCCACCTAGCCA